CCTATTTAAACTGCAGTGTCTCTGTATGCTGGTTTGTGTGTTCTCCGACACAACTCTCACAACGCTTCTCTGAACGTACTCGCTCTCCCAACGGGGAGCTTACCTAATACTCCCAATGAGGAAAAAGCACAAAAACGTGAGTAAAGAGAAAAGGAGACACTGTTTTGCAGGTAACGATTTCAACCAGAGAAGTATTTTTTAATCTAATCACTGATCTTTCAGAAGAGATATAATAGATGTTTATCAGACAATATTTGTATTTTTGACCTTTTACTTCATGACTGTGACAACTGCAGAAATAATTCCCAAAATTTCCATCAATAACTTGAGAGTCAATACCAACTAGAGGTAGATAGTTGGCTTCAACTTAAGCCCAAAATTTATGTTGCTAAGTGAGACATTTGTTAAGGGAATTTTGCCCCATTTTATGATCTTTCTTGCCACAGTTGGTAAGGGAATCACTGCAGGTGTTAAATTAGTGACACGGTTGTGAAGTGAATCTGGTTTCCCCATTGACTTTGTTGTCAGAAGGTCGTCACAAAATGGGATCACATAACCCCAGAACAGTGCAACCGTCCTAAATATGAGTCAGCTGCCAAGCATCTAAATTTTGATCACATGACCATGGGGATGCTGCAACGGTTGTAAGTATGAAAAACAGTCATAAGTCACTTTTTTCAATTTCATTGTAACTTTGAAAAGTCAGTAAATTAACTATTGTAAGTTGAGGACTACCTGTATAAACATCTATTGGAACTAGTAGAGTGGGTGCCTCTGACTAACTTCATCCCATAACCATGGCTAGTTTGATCTAGTGGTTAAGGCACCAGGCTAGAAATCATGAGAAAGCAAATTTTAGTTCTACCTTAGGCATGAAAAGTGGCTGGGTGACTTTGAACCAATCACTCTCTCTCAGGCCAACCCACAATACACCCAAAATTTCCCAGCCAGCATTAGGGGAGCTGAAGCCCACTCAACATTGCCATGTTTGAAAAACACTCATCTGCCTGAAGCCTTTCTAGAACTTTCTCCTTCATCTCTGCCTTAGAGTGTTTTGATATAATGTGCAATAGCAATCCACACAAAATCCTCACAAACTTTCTAGCAGGAGTGTCAGCAGGGGAATTTTTTAAAAAGTCAAGACGATGGGCACAACCATGTGATCAAATCTCCATTCTGACTAGCGTTGAGTTAAATGAAAGCTCAATTCTTTCAGATGGAGGCAGGGGTGAGATTCTACTGGTTCAGACCAGTTCAGGTAAACTGGTAGCTCCGACTATCAGCTGGGAGTGAACCGGTTCGTTCCGACTTTCAGCTGGCCATGCCCGCCTGCCCCTGTACTATACTCACCTATATTCCCTTTTCTGAAACTCAGATGATTGGCAGGGCAAGCTGATTGCTGCACCTCAGCTGTTTTGCATTGGGGTTGGAGTAGAACATAAGTATTCAAATGCACTGCGCATGCGCAGAGCACGCGTTTGCCACGGGCATGAGTGAACCAGTTGTTAAACCGGTAGGATCCCACTCCTGGAGTTACGTGAAATGCTGTTTAGAAAGAAACAATAGGGGTGAACAATAAAAGAAATTAAAGGAGTTTTTGAAATAATGAAAATATTTTTTAAAAAACTTTAATAAAGCTATAGATATAAGAATGTTTGAGGTGCAATGAAAGCTTTCATATGAGGTTACTTTATGCAACATAATAGTGAACTCAAAAATAAGAGGCAAATGAAAACACAGGCTATTTTGAATATAAAAAGAAAAGAAGAGGAATTAAAGAAGTTTCCAGAGAAAAGAAATGTTTCTGAACAAGTTAAGCTTCTAAAACAATAATTATCTATGTTAACATAAACGTAAATAAAAATAAATTATGCAAAACAGAAAGTTTTGCGGATAAGCCATGGAAGTGAATAGCATACAAATTGCAAAAAAGAAAAAGGAAATAATATTGAAATTATAAGAGGGAGATAGTGTAATAACAGATAACATAGCTATAGAATAAGTATTTCATCAATACTATTGAAATGTATATAAAAGACAAGAAAGATGAAAATAGATAAATATTGAAAGAACCAATATTTACCAAAGATTAGTGGCACAATGGCCTAGTTTTGAAGATGCTCATCTCCCACTCAGAAGGCTGAGATTTCAATCCTAGGCAGTGACAGAAATTTGTCTATTGGGGCACAAAATGAAAATATCTACTGTGAACCATGTGTAAGCATCAGGAAGGGCATCCGGCCAGTAAATGCTGAGCTCCATTCCGTCACCCCGACTCTATCCTGATAAAAAGGGTCATAAAAAGAAAACAAATAACAAAGATTAGTGAAAAACAGAAACAGATCATGAATAAGTCCAAAATTAAGGAAATGCTTGAATATAATATATTTAGATTTCCATAAATTTCATTCTTCTCAAACTTTTGGTAATATTATATTGATATATAATGACCATCTCCTTCCTTTCACTGCTCACATTCACAACCTCCCCTACATTCAAACAATCCCAAGACATCATTTAAATACTAAGAGAAACTACTGGAAGGCATGGGCTGAAAATTTCCATTTCATAGACTACAATCGTGATACTCAAATATAGAAGGGAATGTTTCTTCCACAAAGTGTCAATCAAACATTTCAGCAGCGTGAATACATATTAAACAGTCATAATTTTCCCAAAATATTAATTAGCTGTTACCTCATGGGCAGGAGTTGAGAAATCTCTAAATTGTGATGACTTTCTGCTGAAAAAGACATTAAGTTCGGGAAGACAACTTTGGGACTTTGACAGAGTAATAATTTATATACTTAATGGTAATTCATACTAATTTATGTTATTGATATTAAAACTAAGCATCATTAAGCGATGGTAATGAGAATATAGCCTACAATGCTGTTTCAGATGCGGGGAAAAAGAAATGATTGCAAAATGTTATATTCAGCCCATTCATTCTAAGCCTTAAGCCTCAGAAGCAAATCTTCCAAAAATTGGTTAGATAATGTATAATATCTTAAATCTAGCTCATGGAAAGCAAGGCAGTTGGCTAAATTTCAATGATACATTATTACTTTGTTTTTTCCAGCATAAGGAAGAACTCAATCTGATTTTTACTCCTTGTTTTAGGTTCCATGTTGACCTTGTCAAAAGACAGAACCTCTCCTTTTTGTAGAGTTATAGTGAAATTTCATTTTAAGTTTATAAGATACTATCCGATAACTTGGTGTTGCCTGGGCATTTATTTATAGGGGGAAATGTCCGGACCAAACATAATTTCTAATGTTGGATTTTCCCCCTTACCAAAGGGATCCCCCTTGTGGAGTACTGTGAAGGCGTTACCATGGCAACTCCACAGCAATGTATAGTAGAAGCCATTTTACGGCAGTACAGTAGAAGCTATTTTAAGGCACAACAGGCTGCAACTTAACAGAACAACACCCCGAGGGATGTTAAAGTGTCTTACCCTCACAGTATTTGTCTCCAGAGAGTAAGTCATCTTTGTACCAAGTTTGGTTGAAATTTCTTGAGTCGTTCCAGACTTATGCTGGAACATACATACACACATATACATATACATATACATATACATATACATATACATATACATATACATATACATATACATATACATATACATATACATA